GTTTTTGTTCATCGCAGTTTTTTATTATTTATAATCATGTTTAACAACTTTCTCTTCAGCACATAATTAGATTATGAAGAAAAGTGTCTTTAGTTAATGAATGAAAAAACATTGAAAAGAAAGAAAAAAGAGGAATATTAAAAAACACACTCTTAGAATTTTGAGATACCGTTTAATGGTTGCTGATGCAATGAAATCTTTCAGGGATCTAAATCAAAATTATTTGACTGGTCCTTTGCCAGCATTTATTGGAAACTTGACAAAGTTGCAATATTTGTAAGTAAAATTGCTTTTTTGCTTATCAAAACAAGTGATATTCTTTATTTTCGTTTCTCCCCCTCATTATACTTTGTTGACATAGTAATAAACTTCATATTCCCATTTTTAGGGCTTTCGGTACAAATGCATTATCAGGGTCCATACCAAAGGAACTTGGCAAGCTCACAAGTCTTATCTCGTTGTAAGAAATCCATGACTTCAATTATCATACTTCTTCAACTTTTATTGTGTATCAAGGTGTCGCTGATTTTTTGTTTTCATGAATTTATGTAGAAGAATATAAGTTTTTAGGTGCCATAGGATTGAACTCAATAGTTGCAGCAGAAGAGGAACAGTACATAAATAAAAAAGATGAGAGGGTGCATTGTGGGAAGCTCTACAAAGACCAATAATGCCCAAAACTATCAAAAAGGGTGGGGTGACTTTTTTATCCTTTCTTCTGTTTGACAGGGAAAAAGCCCAAAAGAAGTTATAAAATAAATTATGGGACATGATTTAGAGGTGATCAATTCAACAAAAAATGAGAAACTCTTAACATGCCTCCAATGTCTAGTCTAAGAGTTGCATAAGTAATGCTTCTCACACCCACTAGAGAAATGTCCATTTGCAATGTTATAGCTTTTCTTAGCAGTTATTGTGGGAGAGTGAGAAGGTTATTTACCTCATCAAAAGAGTAGATTAGTGTTGGAAAGAATATATGACCAAATAGTGGATGGGCATTTATCTATGTTTTTGATGAAGTGGATGAATAAATAATTTAAAGTGCAAGTAATTTACCTTGTCGCAGGAATCTAACCCATATTCCTTTGTTAATGTCCAACTATGACATTTATCTCTATATCAGTCTTCATTTGACCATAAACAAAGGCTAAGTAAAGGTTAATATAGCTCTCTATGCTATAACACTGAAGTATCTTCTTAATAAAGTCACCTCCATAAGTTCCTGTCCATCCCTATTCTATCTTTTTCTTCCCACTCCATTTATTATTTTCAAGATAGAAATCCACTTAGTGCATATAATCTGAAGCATCTCAAAATCAAGGAGCTTCATGACCAAAATCTAAAACAAACACTTTATGGATTATGCAATGATGACAAAATAATTAAACTTAAAGAATTAAACAGTTTTGATCATTAGTTGACTAATGTTTTCTATCAATATTTAAACTTTCACTAAAGAAAGTGATAAAATGATGAGTTGGTTGCCACTTTTCCTAAAAGCTTATGTTAATAGGAAACTATTCAATTTATATTTAAACTCTAAATTCTTCTCACATTCAAACCAATAAAATTTTAATAAGCTTGACACATGAATCCAAATATAAGATAACAGTGCAAGCCAATGAAGGGTTACATGGACTTGGCATGCAGACCCAAGTGCAAGCAATGGTGGCGCAAGCCATCTATTAATAGATTTTGCACAAAGACCCATATGTGGGAGGATCCACACCATGAGTGTGGGTGAATCACATTGAAACTCCATTACCTCCGATACCATGATAGAATGATTAGCTGGGTAATGGATCTTCCTAGAAGTTAGGATGATAGGGAAGAGCCCAAGTTATATATAGACACTACCGGAAAGCAACTTTATCCCATTTATTTTAGATCTACTTCAATCCCATTATGTGTTTGGTTCATGTTCTCTTTCATGTGGGCATCTATTTGCAAAATTTTCTTTGTACCATGGCCCCATTTGTCATAAAAGACAATAGCTGATAACCAAATACTTTTGTGAATTAACTGAAGAAAAGAAGTTCTAAGAGTGAATAGGGATTTCGATTATATCTAGGAACATTCACTCTGGTTCCAGATTATTTGTATATTAAAATTGTGAAATAATAAATTAGAAAAACAGTCCAAGTGCCATTTAAGGTACTTGATGATGAATGCTATCTAGAGTTAATAGGTTCAACTTCCAGAATATGAGAAGATGAGGTCTCTGACTGACTTACTAATGACAAGGTAGTCCAGCCAGGAAAAGGAAGATTGCTGGGTATTTGCTATTATGAGGTCCTCCATAAGGAGAAGGGATAAGGGAATGCATTTAGTACTCTGTTGGTGTTGGCTTATATGATATGAGAGGAACAATATTGTTTTGAGGAGCCCTCCTTGACAGCAGTTGATCTGATTAGTTCAGCATGTAAAGAGTTTAGTTTCTGTAGCTTTTTCTTCCTCTGTTCTTTCTTTTAATTATCTTTTATTTTTTAATGTTTTTCTTGTATCATATTTTCGTAGAAACAATAGTTTGAGATAAGCTCTCTACCTTTCTTCAAAACAGAAACTTTCTTAGGTGGTAGATGTATTCAGTTTTGTTATTTTCTCTAGTTTCTTTAATTTTAGAAATTATGCATGCTTATCAAGTCATGGAGTAATGAGTTTTATTTTCCGTTCAATTTACACCTTTCATCATAAATATACTTTTACTGGAAAAAGAAAAAAATAAAGAACATGATTTTTTTGTTGGCAGGAGTATAGGAACGAATAACTTCACCGGTCCAATCCCTCTTGAGCTTGGAAATCTGACCAATCTTCAAAAATTGTTAGCTGTTCTTATGTGCCTTGTGTTTTTTCAATACTCCTAACTGCTAAATCTTAACATAAGTCTTAACACTGTAAGTTGATAATTAGGCTCATTGTTTGTTATTTCTTTGGTAGATATATTAATAGCTGTGGAGCAAGTGGTGAGTTCCCATCAACGATATCAGGACTTAGCAGCTTGCAGGAATTGTAAGCCCGTTCCTAATATGCATCTTGAAGATTCCCTGCTTAAATGTTGCTCATGATATTTTAATCTTGTCAGGTGGGCATCTGACAATAATTTCACTGGCAAATTTCCAGACTTTAGTCGGACTAGTCTAGTTATATTGTAAGGGTGAAAGAAAGCTTTTATATAACATTTATAGCTGAACCTTCATTCCATTTATCTATCAGATTTTTGTGCCATGTGCCATGCCTTGTTATTTACAGAAAAGTTGCTATAATATATAAATTTTTTGAGAGATATTGGAAATATGAAGCCAAAGGAAGTTACAAAATGAGATTCTATTTAACTTTCATTATAGTTTAAGAGATTTTTCATTATGTAAAATAATCAGTGTAGTTATGGAATTTTTGGGGAGTTATTAATTTATAAGAAGATTCTCTAATTCTACTAGGATCTCAAGTTATGTAAATTCTTACTTCAGTCCATATCATCAATTAGATTTTAAACCAATTTGTAGACAGCTTCTACATCATGATTTCCTTCCTTGTCGTGGTCATCTTTATGAAGCCTGTGGTGGAGGCGGCATCTTTTTTACTTTGTACCTTAATTGAATTTCTTCTGTTATCAACACATTTTAGTTCTGACAAATAGACCACCTTCTAGCACTCAATAACTAGCTCCTCTTCTATCTTATAGTCCCATATCTATTGCAATTAACTGGTCATCTCAAGGAAACCAAGCTGTTGAAGAAGCAAAATCAATTAGGTCGATATCAACATAGTCATTAAGGTCAATAGGGTAGAAGATCTGTGCTATTTTCTATCATTTCTCAATCTTCATATTCTTCTATTGACATTGTCAATCCTGACATTGTTTATATTGGTTTTTTGACTACTACATCTGACCTCTGTATTGATCATTGAGTAGCACAATAGATGGAGTCTCAGCACATGCCATATCTGCAGACTTCAGCAGTTTATTGCTACTTTTGGTCATCCTCTGCCAACTATGTCTACTACTACTAGTACATCTTCAGCTTTATAAATTTAAAACTTTGATGCTACTTATCATATCATCTTTACTCTTCTATACTTTGTGATTATTTATCAATATCCTCTTGGTCAAGTAGCTGCTAGATTATGACTAAAATCAGAATCACCTTGTATGATTGTTATGACTTTTGGCTTAGGTTTTCTAAAGGACTTCACGACTTTTGAAGAAAACATTTGTTTGTAAAATTTTGCATATCCGTTGACATTTTCCAAAAGGGGCCTTTGGGAGAACTAATCTTCCTTTTTCAAGTAGGTGATGATGACCTTCCGAGTTCTTCTATAAGGACTTCTGATGGAAACTCCTGATGCTGACATCTGCTGCTTTGTTGCTGTCCATGCTACCACTACCATTGGCTGATATTATCAAAACACCTCCAACACCACCACCATCTCCACCAGTAAATGAATTTTTAATTGAACTGTAATATAATAAATAAAATTCATATCCTGTATTCACACTTGGCCTACCCATGCAAAATATATTTATATATGTCCTTTGTATAAGTTTGACCAATGTATATAAACTTCATGACAGTGTTAAATTATGCTGCTCCAAAGTTGTTTGCCTGATTTACATTTCAATTTCACACAATGGCATCATTCTGCTTTTTTTAGCAAATAAGTATGCCTTCACATGATACTAGTACTATTTTCTTAAACGTTCTAATTGTTTAAATTTTCTGGATAGGAGGATTCAAGGGAACTCTTTTGAAGGTCCAATCCCTTCAAGTCTTTCCAATATGACCAAAGTGACTGATCTGTATGGTTCATTCCTATTTGTTTTTATAATTTTTATCAGGTGGTCTGGTATATCAGTCAGTAACTCTGGTTTTATTGTTCTTCTGAGTTTAAAAGCTGCACTTATCAAACAGGCATCATATATTTATTGTCTTCACGTCCACAATAGCACATCTATTCAGTGTTTATCACTTCTTTTACAATTCATGCTCATATGCAGGAGGATTGGTGACATACAAAATGGGAGCTCATCTTTGGCATTCATTCGTAATCTATCATCACTAAGCATATTGTACGAATATTCCCTGTCTGCAAAATATTTTCTATTTTGTTTTTCCTTAGACTGTGAAACCAGTTGACATGTTTAAGCATCATGTGCTTCATACAGAATATTAAGGAATTGCAGGATATCTGACATTATGCCATCAGACTTTTCACGATTCACTAGTTTGCAGAGATTGTAAGTCCACATAATTTGACTCTTATGGATGATGTTGAATTGTGTTGAATGATGATTTTTTTAGATCCACTAGTTCATAAGAAATAAAAATCTATATTCTGATTTTACAGTGAGATACTGTTATCTTTGCTTGCACAGGGATTTGAGCTTCAACAATCTGACAGGCCAAATTCCTCAGTCTCTCTTCAATTTGAGCTTGCTAAGTTACTTGTAAGAAATTTTTATAGTTTTAAGGTTATCTGTAAGAATCTGAGAATTGAATCTGGCTTGGACAATTTGCGCTTCTCTAACATCTTGTGCAGATTTCTTGGAAATAACAGTTTATCCGGTAGTTTGCCCACTGGCAAGAGCGAATCACTTCTTAATATGTATGTTCAACTGATCAGTTTGTTAGATACTTATTTAGGATGAATTTTATGTGATCCTGCAATCTCTTTCCTACTTGCTTAAGATTTGGGTAAAATGACAAGCTATCATCCGTCTATCCATCATTATCAAAATCTTATTTGCAGATCATAAATTTATTAATCTTTGTTTTCTTAAACTAATTTAATGTAGAATTGATTCTTTCTGCTGTTATATGTATTTGACTGTGTTTTGTGTTTCCTACAGTGACTTATCATATAATCAACTGGGAGGAAGTTTCCCTTCTTGGGTTAGTGAACAAAATCTGAAAATGTACGTTGGAATATAATAAGAACTCTTATGTTTGTGACCTTTGTTTTGCTACATATTGCTTACTACTTTTTGTAGAACTAGAGTATTTCTGTTGCGTTCTATGATATTAGAGCTTTTTGACTGTCATTGGAGCAGATAGCTAAAGAAGATGGGAATGATTGGACAAACAAGTTCACAATGAGTCTCTGTTTTTTTAAATGTTAAAGCTTGATGATTGGACGATTGCATTGTGGAAGTACCATGCATGCTTTTCTGATAAAGGAGGTCTCCTCCCACTAGAGAGCTACTTTTCCTCGGAGGGAAGTAGGTCCTCCAAGGAGAACAGATAGAGAAGAGAAGAATAAATATGCCAAAAATAGATTTAAACTAAACTAGATCTGTAAAAGAGACTTCTAGAACTTTCAAAATATGGTTTCTAATAGAGAATGGTTAGCTTAAATAAACAAAATCATCTTCATATAATAATAAGGCTAATGTATACTTCATTTATACTTTGCAGAGATAAGTGAAGGATGATACAACTGAATCAGCAAGATTTTCTGATCAGATCGGCAACATTGCAATTTACCAAATAAAAGTTAAAAATAAAAAATTGCAAAATGAAAATATTGAAAATTTAAAAAAAATTGAGAAAAATGAAAATGTTATTTTCTAAAAGAATTTACATTCATAGTTTTGTAGAATATTCAACTTTAAAAAAACATGAAATTGAAATGTAAAAGATAAACTATATTAAGGATGATGATGTAAAAATTCATTAAAAATTGTTATGTATTCATAAGTTATATGTGTTATATAATAACCATCTATCAAATGTACAAAAATATTAATGAACTAAATAAATGCTTTATATGTCTACAAAAGAATCAAACCTTATCCACCTGTAGCTTTGAAAATAATGATGATCTCATTGTAGCTCAAATGCTTCTCTAATTGTTACACAAGTGAAGTATCAGATAATACAAAACAAGAAAAGATATACTTTATTCAAAGACAGTGCCTATTTATTTTTTTAAGAGCTCATGTGCTACCTTTTGTCTACTCCTTTTCTCTCCTAGTATGGTTTTCTCTCTATTTTACTGGTGGATGACAAATGTAACAACGGTTGTATACAGCAAACACAATGATTATAATGAATAGAAAAGACAATCAAAGCAACATTTCTTATTCACATTTTTTATTAAACCTTTCCTTCCATCTTGACTTTGCTCTTTTTCATCCCTTTCTTTCTACCGTTTTCCTTGAGGTAACTAAATTGTCTAGAATTGGTCAAAGTTGTTCAATCCAATTGAGTTCAATTAGTTCTAGCCAATTCTAACTAAAATCCGCCTTTATGGTTGAGAAATCTGTCAAAATTAATTCTGTCATAGACATACCATTATGGATCAAGCGTTTCAAAATTAGTAAATTCCACAAACTGCCTTCTGGGCTTCTCCTATTTATTTTGGTTAGCATTGTATGATTAGTGCCATCCTCAATGTGCTATCATCCTAGCCCTTTTCTTAGGAAACAACCCCAAATTGCTGCAGAAGGTGCTCATAGCATTTGTGTAACAGATCCCATACTGAATCATTAGTTGACATGGCACTTGAGGTCCATTTCTTGTCCTAAACTATATATGAATAAGGCTGGTTCAGCCTTGTGCTGAAGTTAGAAGCCTAATAGATTCTAGCAAGGGGCAGCCATGCCCAAATTTGACTTTGTCCTATATCATTGCTGATGATGTTGTGGTCAACATCGAGTCTTTGATCAAATTTGCCATTAAATTAAATCCAGGGTCAAAGATAAAGAAGATCAAGTAGACACCATAAATGAAATGGTGTATGTACAGGACCCATTAAGCCATCTGATCACTATGGTTTGAGGTCAGTTTATACCTATAAAGCCCCAAGCAAATCTAACCTAGATCGGGTAAGAAGTGTATTGTATAAGTATTTTTATTATTATAGCTAAATAAAATTTTATCAATGAATCATTTATTTTGAGGGAAATGTATTATTTCATTGGAATGTATAAAACATATAGAAGGAAATGTATTATCAAACATGTAGAAGGGAAGTCTATCGACTTGAGGTGCACAGCCGAAATTCAACAACATAATTTCTTCACCTATAACTTCTAACACCAACTCCAATCAAAGCGACAAAGAATCGTAAACACTACCATTACAAAGAAAAAAGGTAAAATAAAATGCCTTTAGAAAAAGAGATGATGGAATGACCATTCATAAACTAGTGATTCAGTTAAGAGAAAGCATGATCTTCTTTTGCTTCAGAAGCAAGAATTTATCTGTCAAGCATGATTATTAAATAGGAATCTTTGAGCTGATACATATATGTTAGACAACATGTATTTAAATATACAACATGATCAAATCTCTCCTTCTGGACTTGTTTTTCCAGCACTTAGTTATATGAGTTGTATGCCCTTTTTCTTTCTGATTTCCAATACACAATTCTCTACGTAGACCTTAGGAACTGCAGTTACTGACTTCTACATTTTCTTATTACAGAAATTTGGTAGCCAACAACTTCGTGATTAGTGGTTCCAATAACAGGTACTTACTACCATCAATGGTATTCATTGAATGTCCACATAATTCTATCTTTTAGAGTCATCACTAATTTGTTGTGTACAGTGTTCTGGCATCAGGACTAAATTGTTTGCAACGAGATATTCCTTGCAATCATAGGGCACCCATTTGTAAGTTCTCTCTTTCCTCACCATGAGTTTGTTTCATGTAAGATATTGTTAGCAATATCTACAATCTGAAGTTCTGAACTGTATTAATTGCTGATTGACAGATTCCTCATTTGCAATAAATTGTGGTGGTAATAAAACCATCACATCTTCTGATGGGACTCTGTATGAAATTGATGGAAGAGCTCTGAGTAGTGCTTCTTATTATGTGACCGAAACAAACAAGTGGGCAGTTAGCACTGTTGGAAGCTTTCAAGATGCCTCAAATGCTGATTATACTCAATACAGTTCGTCCCAGTTCCAGAAAACTCAAGAACCAGAGTTATATCAGACTGCAAGAATTAGTCCCTCATCTCTTAGATATTACGGGCTCGGCCTTGAGAATGGAAATTACACAGTCATGTTGCATTTTGCAGAGACACGGATACCTGATCCACCTACTTGGAAAAGTACTGGAAGAAGAATTTTTGACATTTATATCCAAGTAAGCAACTGACATGTTGTGTGTTTTGGGATATGTGCCGAGAGTGACTGTATAAACAAAAACTCATGGGCATGCTTTTAGGATATAAAGAAAGAAAATGAAGCATTTGATGCTGCTTATTGTCTGAACTGAAGCATGCAAAAATTCTTTGTGAATGATTTTTGCTGCATCTGAGTTTCTTGTGCTTCATTTTTTTTTTTCAGGGGAATCTTGTGTTGAAGGATTTTGACATAAGAGCTGAAGAAAATTCATTGACAGCTGTTACTAGAAAGTTCATTGTTCCAGTGACAGATAACTTTCTCGAGATTCATTTCTTTTGGGCTGGAAAAGGTACTTGTTGTGTGCCTGATCAAGGTTATTATGGGTCATCTGTCTCGGCAATCAGTGTCAATCCTGGTATGCAAAGATTCAACATCTCACTTATTCGGTTGATCACCATACCAGCTTCTTATTTTATCTGTTACTTTTCAGATTTCACTCCTACTGTTAGCAACAAGCCACCATCTAGTGCATCAAAAAGTAGTAACAAAAGTACTATTGTTGGCATTTTTTCTGGCATTGGAGCTTTAGTTCTACTTATTGTCGGGATTTTAATCTATTGGCAGAGGCAAAGACTCAGCAAGGATGATGAAGATGGTACAACTTTTTCTTCTATATCGATATTTGTATATATGCATAAAAGCTTCAGAAGTTGAAGGATAGTTTATGAACTTTTACCCCTTGAAACTATATAATGCAGAATTGCTGGAAATGAGTTCCAGGCCAGATACTTTTAGTTATGCTGAACTGAGAAGTGCTACTGAAGACTTTGACCCTTCCAATAAACTAGGAGAGGGAGGGTTTGGTCCAGTATTTAAGGTGAGCATCTTTTTCAATTTCTGCAGATGCACCAATGCATGTTGGAAATATGTTACTATTTTTATGGTAACAACTATAAAGTCAGAACTTAAATTCTGAAAATCATCCATTCATTTGCTGAATATTTGAGCTAGAAGGATCAAAGATCATGTTTAAATGTGTTCATCTAGGTTTACACCAGTGATGGTGACACTCT